CCGTTTATAATTTTTTTATATCAATCAAATCACTTTTTATTCACCTATTTCATGAAAAGTACTACTGGCTTATTAGATCTGGACATCGAGTGGATCAGTTTGAACATTTCAATAGTCAAAACTAAGAGTATTTTGTGAAATGGAAGTATTCAGATCCATGTAACTAAGAGAACCGAACACGAACCCAAATCATTGATTCCATTTTTACACCCTTTTTTAAGAGAAATGTGAGCTAACAATACAATTATCTTCCTAATATCTATCAAAAATAGAAGAAATAAAATATGTACCGAATATACATTTCAAAAACTTTTTAATGTAATGCAAACATACTAACAAATAACATAATGGCATCCAATTGCAATTGAGGCTTTGCATGCGGCGTCTGGAGAAGGATTTGATATGTTGGCAACTCAATTAGTTGTACTTCTAAAGTCCACTTCTTCCCCACATGACTTCCCCACACTACGAGTGAAAGAGAAAATGTAAAGACTTCCATTAAAGCAGTAGCTACGAACGAAGTTTGGTATCATATTTGTTCAAATTCTTAGGTGACCATCTGGAGTTTGGATGAATTCACTATGAAAGTTCCTTCACGAGTGTGTCCCAAGTCTCCTTAGTCACTTACATGTAGAGATCAAGCAAAATTGTTTAGAAGTTACAAAAGAAAGCATTTAAAGCTTTAGAATTTCAACTAGGATTATCAAAATCTGTAGTGTCCCACTCTTCAATCTTTTTTTGCTCTCTTTTTCTTTTTCGAGTACAATTAATCCATAAAAATAGAGTGTCAAGATTTTTCTTTAAGGGATTGGACAGAAACCTGCATCTTGATTTTTCAATAGGCATAATTAGCCATGTCTAGTACATGAGGTTTACAAGCTGCTCCGTCCATATCTAAGTTTTTCTTAGATCACACTTTTAAAAATGTATACTCGATTTGATACCAAGTGAAAAGTTCTAAAACCTGGAACTTGTAAATAGAAGTTTTAATGTTTTTGACTGGCACGAGCAGATTAATGGTGCATTCGCGATTGCAGTTTAACAAATACAAAAATTAACTAGCAACATTGAATATGAACACCAGATATAACATGATAAAAATCAAAAGAAAACATCCATAGGCCCCATGAAACCATCTTCAATAATTTGTTAAAAAATATAATAGTATCCTTGTAATTTCACAAAATTAACAAAATAACAATTAAAAGACCTAAGAACAACCCTCTTTTATTTCTTCTTCTTTTAACTTGTTAATGAAGTGAAATCAAACTCCCCAATCTTGACTTTATCACCACTTCCTTGTTGTACTCGATCATAACCACTACTTGAATTAAGAATCATAATTTTTATCTTCACGCCAACTAACTCGATCAAAAGATGATATTGTAAATTAAGCACCAATTAGTTTTTATATTCTCCAAAGGCTTGAAGAAGACGATGACTTTAAATTTTTCAATGTAGCATGATGTCCGTCTATTTTTACGAAGCTGGCCGCATTTTTTCAATTATAAACAGGAATGAAAAATATCTTTGAAAGCTTAGTTCATTTCTTGATTTTCTAGCATTACTTATAGATAAAGTAATCATTAAAATATGAAATTAATTCTTACCTTATAATTTGCAATAATTTTTTTCCTAGATTTGTAGAAGGCCAATATAATAAAAGACGATTTTAGTTTAGCATATCCTTATATCTTCCTTCTAAATAAATATGATAATATATATGGTAAAATCTACACGAGAATAAAATTCATAGCTAATAATTTATGGTCGAAATTGCTTACCATCCCAGTCAGCCAGTACTCACTACTGCTAGCACCTGTACACTTATCTCAAAGTTTGACAATTAAAAATCAACAATATATATTAAGTAAATCAATATATAAAATATGTAAATATATGTCACGCATATTTTTTTTTAACAATTTTAAATAAATTTATTAAAATTTAGGTAAATGAAACTAGCCTTCGTGCAGTTAACTTAAAAATAAATAAAAATTATTTCTAAACATATTCGATAACGCCTTTGGCTTTGCCTAATTCTAAAAAGAAGCCAAATTCACGATGCTCCAGAGACAGGATGGTGGGAGCCCTCAAGGTTGGGTTCAACCTTTTTTTTTTAAAAAAAGAAGCCAAATAATTGTCTTCTTTACCGTTCTGCTTGACAATGCACTGCATTAATTAATTCTTAAATTTTTAGAGCTTAGCCAATAGATTGAAGACGTATTTAGGCACTGGATAGATCCCGATTAAATCCATCTGCAGCCTGCAGTAGTTAGCCGTGCCTGTGCTTAATTAGTTGGTTGGTCATCAGAGCACAGTGGTACATCAGAGCACACCAGTCACTTGAGGAAATTATGCAAACGGCTCATTTTCCTATAATAGGTGAGACAACACCCCGAAAAATGTCTGTTTTATAGACTGTCAGTTAATCTCTTTAAAGCTGAGTTTCTCAGGCATCTTTGAACGTTTGCCGGTTACAAAATGACCATACATGGATGATGAAACTTAAATTTTTTTAATGTAATTTAATAAAAATTAATGGGATATATAATTGAAAAGCTGAAAAAAAATTATAAAATGAGTTTAAAGAAAAATAAATTTGAAAAATAGAGTTTAAATATGAGCTTAATGTCTTTTCAATATCTAGACGGTCTAACAAAATCAACAAGGTCAACATTGAACATTACCTCGTGTTGACTTCTCGAAAACATGCCAATCTGGGGTTTGGCATGATTCTTGTGTGCGTATTTATTTGGAATCCAGGACAATAGAGAAGGAATATTTCAAGAATAATACTATGTATCAACAGTGGTGCTTAATAAAAGTCCATGGGATAGCAAAACTCACATTCTACAATCGATTATTAGTTGGTTTCTTTTACTCATATATTAAAATTACCTCCGGAAGCATTATTCTTGAATATGTTAGAAATGTTCATTTCAAAATTCCCAGAGTAAGAGCATCTTCGGTGTACCCTATGGTATGCAATCTACTTGACTTGCAAGTAGATGGATCTGTAGTCCATAAGGTATTGTTATCTTACGAATGGACGATTTACGGTTTTGTCTCTAATGGGTTCTATCCATTGTTTTAAAAAAACTCGCCCAAGCTTCAATATAAAATGAAAACTCGTTCGAAAATTAAAGAGAAGACCCTAAAACAGAAAGGAACAAATAAAAAAGAAAAGAAAAGAAAAAAACACAAAATTGTGTTGAGGCAATGACAAATCAACTATAAGCATTGTTTTTATCCGACTAGCCCGGAATACTTAATTTGGAAGTTAAACTTTTAGTGAGGGGTAATATCCTAGCTGAAGTTTGGAGGTTAGGACATTTAAATCTATGGAAAATAATTGCCTATTAAAATAATGACCTAATCAAATTTGAGCGAAAAGTGAATGAATGTTGTTAAATAAACATTAGAATGAACAAGCTGAGTGAGATATTGAATAACAAGTTGAGGGTGTGCATCTCACGAGATAGAAATGAAATTTTTTACCATTGATGATCGAGAAATAACCAACATAAAAGTTCATGATGAATAGAATAACTATGCACGTTCACATCAATCGAACGTGGGTTAAATAAAAATTTGATTTTTGTAGTGTTACTTATGGATTTTTAATGAATTGTCGAACAATTTCATTATTTGGAGTATGGCAAGATATCTAATGCATTGATATATGTTTTTTTGCTTGTGTTTAATAGATAATCTTGCTCGAGACGAATATAAGTTTAAATTTGGAGTATTTGATAAATGTGTTTTTAAACGTTATAATTATTGCTATTTGAGCATATTTTTACCTAATTTAGTGTAATTTTGTTAATTGTAGGCAAAACTCGAACTTGGATGCAGTGACGCGAAATTGGTATTTTGAACTAATTGAGAGTTTGTTCTGAATAGTAAGTTTCCGGGGTGAAATTCAACTTTATGAAAGTTTGAAAACTATATTACAAACATTTGAAACTCAAGACAGATTAATTTTGAATAATTATAAAGTTTTGGGGCCAATCGGGAAGATTTTAAAAGTTTTAGCATCAAAATTGAAGTTTATAATTAAAATTTATTAAAATTGAACAAAACCAAGAAGCAGAGCTGCACACCAAATTTAAAATTGGGGACCACATTGAAGCAACTGAAAAGTTCGGGAGGACAACGGTATAGGCTAAGCCTTTGTTTGACGCGATTCACTGTGGTTTGCAAACTGCATTGAATCGTGGCCAATACGGTTTGTTCCAGATCGACCCGTTATGCTGTTTTAATGTTATTATTATTATTTTTTTTTTTGTGTAAGATCATCAACTTTTCACCATTTCTCCTTCAAGCTCAATGATATATACCAAGCTTCTCTTGTAGTTTTCTTGTTCAATACTGCTTAACTGAACAATTTGTTGGGACGAATGAGATCTATTGAGTTTTGAACTTTAATTTAAATTACCATGTTTTGATGTTGAGTCAATGTTTGTAGATTGTTTTTACTTCTTCTATCATGCTTTGAATTTTTTTATCACTAATTCATTGATTTGTAAATGATAACGAGCCAAGGGGTAAGTTCGAAATTTAGGTCGAAGGTAAATATATGCTTGTACTAATTTTGTGATTATTAGTTGGATTTTTGGTGATTGAGTATTCTTTATTAAGACTTATCTTGATACAGTAGAGATTTAGTGAATTAACTCAATTGAGTAGAATTCATTTGAACTTGGGAGTGATAAATTAATTAATTTAGAAGACTTTGAACATATGCACATAATTAATTTCTGTTGAAAATTGATGATTGAGATTTAGAGGATGGTTATAGTGAACTCGTAAATTCTAACACTTTAATCATTGTATGTAAACCGTAAACTATCCATTAGACTACTTTTTAATTGTTTTCTTAGACTTAAAAATATTTAGGATAAAAATTGAAACTACTTTTAATTATTTTTATTTAAATAGAAGTCAAGCATAGTTAAATCGATGATTAGATAATAGTCATCGTGAAAATGATGATCTGAACTCTTAAATCCGCTCCATTACTTGTTATAACGAGCTTGATTCTCGATAAAATTAGGAACAGTTCCTACTACAAGTTGATTATTGTACTTTGATGTGAGGACTTTTGAATGAAGAAGCAGCGGATTAATTATTAGCAATTCCGGATAACAGTCAATGTACGTAGCACTGGTAGAGCTCTTAGCGTCTTCTTGCAGCTGTTTCCCTCTGGCAATTGAAGAACACAGCAGCTACAGGAAGGCCAAGTTCATTTTCTTCCGCAAATTTTCTAGTGCTGAATTTATCCCTGGAAAGTGGGGCACTCATTGTCTGCCTTTTTTTCTGCTTGAAGAGAATGAATACAAACCGGTGGATCCCTATGTTCGGCTTTGGCATTTCATAGCTCAACACTTCTCTTCCTGCGTTAATTTGTAGAACCATGGGTCAATGATACTGGGGTGTGCATATTGGGTATTCGATAATATATATTATAAAATCTGGCATGCACGTGAAAATGGGTGTTATATATATATTAGCTCAACCTTTTAAATGGGATAGTTGAAGCTGGAAATGGAGTAAAATACATACCAAATGAAGAATCAGTTGTGCCTGGAATGTCTGTAACTATCCTGTATCACGATCCAATCAAGAAATTAAGGTTCTCAGTAGAAAGAGACATGTCTAAATTTAAAATTATCAATAAATTATTCTTATCTTTCTCATCTTCTTTAGTTCAGTTAATCTTTTTGAGCTCAAATACAAAGAAACCTCTTTACATCAGTCATTTTTTCATCAGTTTCGAGCAACAAAATTAATCCTTCGAATCTAAAGAAAACCCTATTTTTTCATAGGCACGTCCATATCCTAAGACAAGTTAGTCAAGTTTTTTCCTATTGATATTCTTTACTGCTTTTGAGAGAACTGTTCAGCATACCAGTGTAAGTATTCCTTAAGAAAGGGATCACTAGGACCAGGAACATCAGGGTCTGTCATAATCTGCAAGAAGTTAACAAACCTAAAACAATGAAAAGTTTGCCGGAGATGAATAGATCAAGCAACAGATACATGTAGTGAGTTCAAATTTATGTCGAACAAGGCTTAGTTTGTAGTGGTTGTAAGTCAAAATATATTAGCTGGAACCTCCGGAAGCACAAGAATCCTTGTATGAACCAGAAACAGTAATAGACTCTAAATTTATCACGAATAAAAATTTGTCATAATATTACAGAAAGATAGACATGAGCTTATGGGACCGAAGAACTGAGTTCAGGTAGCTAACTCCATATTTTTGGGGAACAAGGCTTGTTTTTTGTGTTCTGTAAGAATGAAAAGATAAAAGTTTTGACGAACAGATAGAAGGATATGTATATACCAGAGTAAAGAACGATCTCATATCACCTCCATGAACCTCAACCCTAGGTTTAAAGGCCACTGTGGAGGGAAACAGCTCATGACCATTGTAGACATGCTCGTTGGAGTTGTAAGTGACAGACATTTTAACAGTTGGGGAGAAATAATCAATAACATCTCCTATGACTCTTCCAATTACAAGGGGATCTGACCTTCTTGCCATTACAAGAGGAAAATAATTGCACTCGATATTAGAGGAAAATCTGGGAGACAAGATAAGACTGTGGGGTGTGTGTGTTCTTTTGATTGTAGAATTTTGTCTGGAAATCCGATATTTAAAGTGGCAACAAGCACTTAAAAATAATGGTATTTGAAAATAGGGGGAACCAAATAAAGCTCTCTACCCTCTCTGGATACATTGAGTTTAGTCATTATTTGGCATGTAACCAGCATAAAATGTTTTAAAGATGTTTTGAAAAAAATGAAAACCGAAAGGGGAAAAAAATGATGATTTGACATTATTTGGCATGTAACAGCATAATCTACTTTCTTTCTATCAAGTCCTTGTTTGATGGTCATTATTTGGTAAGTGCAAAGTTTTGAATAGTGAATTTTTGGAGAATATGATTAAAAAGTTTAAAAAAAATTTTAAATTTACATACAAAATATTTTATTGTATAAATGTGCGCTCAAAATAAATATGTAGAATGAAAAATTTTGTAATAGTGAATTTTTTTGTAATAATGTTTGCTAAGCGGGGGCTAAATCGGTAGATACATTCATTACATGTAGATTCCACCGTGAGGAATTCATTTTTCTAATTGTTATTTAATGATAAAGTAGAGGCAAACGGAATTTTCAAATAGTGTTTAGACATTTGCAAGTTTCTATATGTGCCAAAACCTTTGGTAATTTGAGGGATAGAAAGGTGGAAATTCCTTCCTTATCTAACAGTCCCTACAATTCCAATCTTCTAGGCATAAAAGCCATAAAGGATCTCCACATCTTTTTAAGAAATTATTTAAAGATATATATGGTTCTTTTTAACAATTTATGCTTTTATATCAAGTTGTTTAACTTCAAAACATAACAAGTAAAATTAATCTTGAGTTCAAGTCTCGTCGTTATTCCTTTGTTAAAATTGTATATGTGTAAGGTTTTAGTGAAAAGGAAAAATGAATCCACCTACTCATGGGAGTGTGTGCTGAAGATATGATTTAAATAATATACGTATGACATTCTCTAAGCAAAAAAAGCCAAAGGGCCAGGGCCAAAAACAGGGTTGTTCTCTAAGTATGTATTGAACTTTCAGTTCAAATGGTTCAATACACGTTAAGGCGGGCGCCCCTTTTTTCAACCCTATTTTTGGCCCTAGCCAAAAAGCAAGATTGTTCTCTAAGTATGTGTTGAACTTTCAGCTCAAATGGTTCAATACACATTAAGGCCAACAGATAAACTGATGGTCATTCAAAATCAAAAACTAACTTTCTTGTAAATAAATTTGGGAGTTAATTTCATTTTTTTTCCTAGTCAATGAGTTCATTTTACTACCTACATGTTTGATTGTACTTGAAATGAAGTCAACTTACTTTTAAGTTTCTTTTTTTGCATATTCAAAGATAGTTTTTTACTAACAAAATTTATATTCTTATGTTAAAAAGGAAACTTTTAAGTAAAATCAATGGTGTGTTTGAATCCCATTTTGTGAGAGAATGAGTTTGATGATAATGATTTTATGAAGAATATGTGGTTAAATAGTATGGCAATTTTTTTTGTTTATATGTAATATTAATTTATTAGAAGAATGTGTAATTAAAAATGAGTTCCAAAAAAATGTATTCGTATATAATAGGATTCAATCAGCGGCTAAATATGCTATAGATCAAAGCAACTACAGATTTTTTTCCCCTACCCCTCTTCTTCGGACTTCAACCAATAGGCTGTTGGAAAATTTACATCAATTGGGGAAAATGGAGAAGAAACAAACAACCAGAAATGTGATCAAGAAGATGAAGAACATAACAAATATGAAGGCTCGAACGCGTAATCGCTGTTCTCAAACTATATTTGCCCCCTCTCGGGATTGAATAAGATGCTTAAGGGTTTTAACAAATGGTTTGTAGGATTATATCAAGCATTGTAAAGGATTTAACACCAAAGTACAAGTACAATCCTCCAAAACTTTAAGAACACAAAGGAAGATCTTGAATATGAATGTAAATCATAGTTTGATTCAATATGGAATGATACATAGATCTTAAGATGTTTTTTTAATGATTCTAATAATGTTTGTATTGATCATTCATTACTTATTTATAAGCCTCAATCAATACATCACGAAATGGTGCCAAAATAAGACGAAAAGTGGCAAATTTTAATTCAAAACGGCTACCAAATTTCAAATTGAAAAATTATTTTTTAACATTATGCGTACACATAGTGTAAACCTTGCGTATGCATAGTAGAAGCAAAATTTAATTCTGATTTTACCAATGTACATCTCGTGTACGCACAAAAATAAGCATGTGCATACGCATAGGCAAAAAATCAAATTTTGTATTTTTTAATTTCTTTTTATTTTACCAATTTCACAATTGAGCCCAATAATTAGTCCATTATTATTCCTTTGATTTTGAACAAATATTCAACAATCCCCCACTTGTTTAAAATCAATACGATCACATATTCAAAAAGACGACACTTATGCATAAAGATTAGATATCTTTCGATTTGAATCTAACCATAGTGTAATTCAAACAAAGTAAAGTCGGAATTAGAGGTAGCGTGGAAGCTTTGAACCAACTATTCCTTATGACAATATCGGTAAAAACACACATAAAAGTATTACGTGTACTCAAATTCCTCAACTCGCTTAACACTTTTATGGCCTTACGCTCATCCTATTCAATGAACTTTGAAGAGAAAAACTCCAACTCTCTGTTGAGACGGCATCACCTTGAAGTTCATTTAGGTGAAGTTCTTTCAGTATCTTTGTTACTTTTAGAGATACTTGTGTTTTAGCACTGAACTTCATTAAGAGTTTTAAACTCAACCCTCACTTCAGTAACAATCAGCATTATTTAATTAGGATAGGGTCATTGCGGATTTAGATAATGCTACAACTATCCACATATCAAATGACTTGTTGTTACCCTTTGAACTCGTAGATTACCTTTTGAGTAATGACAGGTAGGGTTGCCGTCATTGGTGGACCTTTTTAATTAAGGAGTTTCAACCCCATCCTACTCGAAGTAGACGCCACTAAATCTCTATTTAGATGTTTAAAGTATCCGCTACGTCTTTATGAAAATTATTTCATCTTTGATAATTTCCTTATTAAGTCACGTCTAAGACTATGTCTAGACTTCCATTATATGTGACTTAGTATCTTATCAAATATAGCTAGCCAACGATCAATTTGTTTGATAGATACATCTTGTTACCACTAAGGAATCTTTTATGAAGCCACATACTTTTTACTAGCTTTATTTAAAGCTTTATAAATTTTCAAAACACTGTCGGATGATTTTCATCAAATTGTTATAATTGTCAATTACTTTTATTGTGAATTTCATAGTTGGGTTTTCAGATTTCATCATTGAAATATTACAATGATCTTTAACTTATGAATATTCTTAAATGTTCACATTAGTTTTGTAAACTTAGTGATTGGCTTTCATGTAATTCATCCACTTAAACTTAGTGTATTTCATCCTTATAAATATATGTATAAGGACTTCTCTACCTTTTCTTTTTTTCATAAATATCTTTCTATCACTAAAAGGTAAAGGACATGGTAACTTTTTAAGACTAAGTTATCCCCACAGTTTCTCAATTAAGAACATATATGCAATTTAATATTGTTGCATCCACAAATCTTTGAACTTCTCTTAAAAGTTCACAAGCGTCAATGTTAACCCCCCCACATTTCGGGTTACACTCGAACTTATAGTTCATCAATTCTTTTATAATTCAATTCATTTATCACTTGGATCACACAATTTGATCAAAGTCATCTCATATACCATTAATGCTTCTCAAGTATAAACCAACTCAATTTGGTTCTTTGATTGAAATTCAATTCAATCAATGAAGAAGACCAAGTACTACTTCTTTCAAACATGTACAACTTATCACTTTTCACAAGATATCATCATATCAAATAATAAGGTATACGTTCATCTTATTTAACTTCGGACAAGAATACATTTTGTCATACTCATATGCAAATATAATTTAGCGTAAGTTCATCTCATTTAATTTCATATAATTAATTCAGGCTATTACCAAAAGTTAGTATAATTTCCAACCAGATATGAAAGTTTTAGTCTTTCAAACATGTACAACTTATCACTTTTCACAAGATATCATCATATCAAATAATAAGGTATACGTTCATCTTATTTAACTTCGGACAAGAATACATTTTGTCATACTCATATGCAAATATAATTTAGCGTAAGTTCATCTCATTTAATTTCATATAATTAATTCAGGCTATTACCAAAAGTTAGTATAATTTCCAACCAGATATGAAAGTTTTAACAAACTAATTTACCACATTCAAACTTTTTAAGATTTGAATGAAAATGATATTCAGCACTACCGCTAACTTTAGGCACAGTTTGTGCTCCACAAAGTATTTCCATGTTTTAATAATTTCGGAAGCAATTTCCACTAGAACAAGTCACAAGCTGTCATACTTTATGTAAATATAACATAATTGACATAAAGTCATCTCACTTAATTCCATAGGATTAAATGAGGCTATCAACATTAACCCAAATTAATATGAGTTCAACAAGACATGAAATCAAGCAATTAGTTGGCATTTTCACAATATTATTATTACATGCATATGAACCATATCGTTCCCATTTGCACTTATAGCGTGCATCAATCTATATTTCTTTTGATAAGTTCATATTTCTTTCGCAAATTCATATAATCGAATACAAGGAAAGAGACACGAAAATAACCACATGTAATTTTCCATTTTCTGTGGAAATGATTATGAGAGTTCACATAATTTCTTTCATATTCACATACTTTCGCTCTATAAATTTTTACACATTAGAATCTTTCCATATGTAACATATGCAATATCATTTTATTGCAATAGTATAGTATGCACATCAAGATTTCAACCATTTAACTATATGGGTGCCAAAATTATACATCTCAAGTAAAAGAACATAAATTTCCTTCATGCATGTTCAAAATAGAGTAAACACTTTCATACACCAATTAGTGAATATCAAATAAATTCATGATTCAAATATTCTTATATATT